ATATATAAAATAAAATAAATATTTAATATATATTAAATACTGTTTTCACCAGTATTTAAAGCAACAGCACAGTATCACCTGAATATTGGCAAAAACATACCAAAGTTTCTGACAACTGCAAATACTGCTATCTGCACTACACGGTGATTAATTGTGAGTACAAGAGCAAGACAGAAGTTACCCTTTTGGAGTTGCAAGTGACTTAATACGCTGTACTTCAGGTTATTAACTTTACCCATTTTCCTTCTGTTAACAGTTGAAACCTTATGATGATCATAGATGGGCAAGATTCAAACCCCAGCTCACTGCTCACTGCAGTCTGGATAGTAGTAAACCAATTTTCATCCTGGTGTCAGAGTCTGGAAGTTGGTGTGCTTGCCAAAATCTTTCAGAAAATGTGTTGCACATTTAAGATGCAGCCGTTTCTCTACTTATATGGATCTGCTTTGAACGGAACTCCATAGAGGAAGTTCACTGGACTCCATTAGTGTTCCTTCCCCTGGATAATGTCTTTCTACTTCTAATGAACTTTTACCTTCCCGGAAGTGATTTGTGCACTCGCAGTTTTCGTAGCAATACATCAGGAATGCTGGGCATGACATCAGAGCTATTCTTGGGCTCCTCCTCTTCAGTGGGAGAAGGGAGAGGCGAAGGGCCTAAAGACATTTTCAGTCAAAAAATTTTTATGTTATTTGAAAAATTATCTTTAACTACTAATAGTCAGCATCTCAGAGCCAAATAGGACCTTTTAGCCTAACTGTGTCAGTTAGGCTAAAGTCAATGAGGCTTTCCATCCCAACTCTACTGTGAATAGAAATCCCAGTTTCCACTGCATGTTCACAGAAACAGGATACAAATGTTATAATTCTCTACTTTCACCACTTCATGAGGATCAAGATATAGCTCAATTATTTTCTTTAATTCATGTTACTTAACTTTTTTTTCATTTTCTTTAATGTCATCTATAATAGTCCCCTTTGTACAGATACCTTTCTACAGCTCTCCTGTTCATATGGCATAACAGAAAGATTCTTAGACTTGCAAAACAAATAGCGTGAAAACGCTCAGGTTTTGTAAATGTGGAAAGTATTAAGGTGAAAGAAAACAATGGGAGAGTCTTTCCAGCTATGTATTAGTTCTGTGCATTTCCTTTACATTCAAAAATTCCAGTATTTACTTAATAGTCATGTCCCCATCAAGTCAGCCCACCACCATGTCTCTAGATTTACTACATCCCATTTACCTAAACTTCTGTAGATGGAAAGTTGTGTTTACTCAGATGATCACAATAACTTGGCATTCATAGCAAAACATGACAGAGTCAGTATATTTGATTCATAACAGTAATAGTGAAGTTTCTTTCTGGCTATTTCCTATTGTTTAAGCAAAATTACTACTCCAGTTAAAAAGCACGAGGTAGCTTTTATGACAATGTAAGGAAGTAAGTCTTTCTAACGAATGAACTGAGGATTTGACCTCTCACTTGTTCTCCCCACTGAGGACAAGGAGTTGACTCTTAATGTTCTGACTATCATTTAGGTAAGTTACTAGACTTTAAAAACCTCATGATGCTCATTAGACCTTGGCTGAAAAGCTGGATAAAATAATGCTTAGCTTTTTGTAATATTTTCATCAAAACTTTCAAATGTGCCAAAATTATCTAACAGGCTGGTAAAATGGCAACTACTGTACACTTTCACATGAAGCCTGCTAAATAATTTGTGGGAAAATATGTATTAGCACAACAACAGGAATAATATTACTGTATCCATAAATCCAAAGATATCGCTAAACACAGAAAAAGGAAGTCTCTTTTAAAGTCTCATTTCGCTCAGACTGAAGAAGAGTGTTTCTAGAGATAACATGAAATGTAGTATCTCAGTCATCTCTCAGTGTAACAGAAATTTTAAGTCTTTATGAAACAGCCCCAAAGCAAATCTTTGAATTAGGAAAATGAACAGTGTTAGGAAAAATGGAAACTGGTTTTGGATCAGATTTTTGACAAGCCATTTCAGCTCCTTTCATATTGACCATTTCCATTTCAGAAAATATGGCCTTTTAAACATTCTGACCAAGTTCTCAAGTTCTGGCCTAATAGCTTCCAAACAAATAAATAATTTAGTTTAAATATTTTCAATTGATCACTTAGCACTACTGCTATTTAATTCTTTCAAGTGTTGAATTGCCCTCAGGATTACATTTTTGTTCTTACTTCTAGTCTGAATCTTTTGAGATTCAGTCCACAGGCATCAAATCTCATTTGTTTGCATTAAATTGGAAAAAAACACGTTTGGTGCCAGATTTCTATTTCCTCATTTATGAAGAGTTTTAAGCCTTTTCCTTATTAAAAATCAGGCAAATTGTGCTAAAAAAATCCCCCCCTACTGTGAGGCATATTTTTCCAACCCTTCAAGCACATTGATGTCTCTTCACTGGCCTTACCTATCCACATGGATGTAGAGCTTTGGACCAGAACTGAACATGCCATTTCAGTATTTGCCACATGTATACTAAAATTAAAAAGCAGGACTAAAGCATTCCATCTCTTATCTATACTTTCAAGAATAAAATCCACCCTTCTGGACACAATATCCTGCAGAGGTCCCATTCATTCAATCCATCACCGTTGAAATGTTCAGAAAGTCACTGAAATTGGAGACAGCCCTCCACCTATTACGTACAAGTTTGACTCTGTTCCAGGTATCCGTCTTTTAATTTATTTTTAATAAAACCTAGATCTTCTCAGCTCATTCAGGTACTTCCATTATTGGTCTCTCTTATTCATCATTTACCACCCTCCTCCATGACTGCTTTATTACAACTACTATTGCAATTGAAGAAGAAGCCTTTTTTCCCTCTCAATATTAGTCAATTATGAAAATCAGTTTATAACAAACACTCCTTCCATCTTTTACGATACCGCACCTTTTTCCTGTTCAGCTGCTTCACTAAGTTCAGGAAGTTTAAGTCCAACTAAATTTTGATTTCTCATCAAAATATGCTCCTGTTAAGAAAAAACAGTAACATTTCTAAGTAATTTAACTAGGAATTTCAATTTAAATATCCCTGCCATGTGAACACTGAATATAACATTTACTTTAGTTAATAAACATAATTGAGATATTTATATTGTTACAGTCAGATGCTGCATTGCATGGATACATGTACATTCCCACACACATTCTCAAATATTATATATTTCAAATTTCATACATGTATTTTGAAAAATTCCTGCTCATGCAAGCAGTGCTACTTGCTTCAGTAGAAAAACTGAGTTTTGGTAAACGAGAGTTTTAGTAGATGAGAGTGAAAAAAGCAATTTCTGACATATCCTTAGTAATAGGTAAATATCCCAGAAAAGAGAGAAAATTAAAAAAAAAAAAAATCAAAAACATCAGATGTATGAGACCTTGCTACTTTGATTTATTCCACAGAATTTATTCATACCAAATGCTCAGCTAAACAAAGAAATCCAAAGGAAGTTTACAAATAGTAAGCCATACTCAGAGGCTTGTAAACCCTTACACAAAAGTACAGTAATTGTCTCCAAGCTTCAGCTAAAGGTTTCTGATTATATAGAGGTCTCAGCCCACTCATACAGAAATCAATAAATTCCTCAACATATTGTGAGAGCCGGTGGATCTGAGGACAATTCCAAAGGAACAGAAAGCACATCGCAGGGAAGCAAAGGAAGTGAAAGAGCGTAAGTGACCATTTTAAAGACAATATTGTTACATCCTGAGGAAGGAAAGATTCTCCAGATCTAAAATTCCCTTTAGAAATCAAACCAGATCACTTCAGTCCCACACATGTTTTACAAATTACATGATTGCCAATCAACTGCTTCTTGTTTATAGGTCATGTAAACGACGCAAAAGCCAGATATATTGTGTTTTAGACTCACTTTTCTGTCACAGTGAAAGCAATTAGTACTTTCTTGACACCGGTACTACAGTTTTTTTTTCTAGGGGCCAAGACCTGCATGTACAAGAGCATATGCACATGCATGTGTGTGTTCTGAAGATACCACAGTGCAGTTGATGCATATTTGAAGAGAACTAAGAAACAGAATAATTCCATGAAATTTAGTTACAGGTTACAATTTCCTCAAGTTGCCAAGTAAAACCACAATACAATTCTGTATTGATTTTGCTGAAACCATTTCCCATTATATTACTGTATGTTTCGTGCAGTGATAAAAATAACGCTGAGCAGATTGAAAGTTTAGTAGGATATGAAAGTAACTTTCAAGCAGAATTCAACTGACGACTAGGACTTACCTCTCTGAGCTTTGTCAGTTTCTGCATTCGAACCGGCTGAACTTGGATTTGAAGGTCTTTGAATGCTTTTAATTGGTTACTGGATTTATTACCAACGACAAAGCTTTTGTCTTCCTCAGACGGTAATTTTAAAGATGTTTTCTCTTTCTGTCCAGGCTCCGAGCTATCCCACGATACAGCCCGTAGTAGAGGAGGACGCAATCCACACAGTTTAAATTCTGGTTTACATGAAACTTTATGGTCCCTCATTTCTGGAACAGGAATTTTAAGCTTTGAGTCTATATTTCCTATTCCTGGTCCTGATAGATGGGTTCTTAAAGGAACATCATTTTCTTTTGCTTTCCTGAGGAATGATTTTCCAAGTTCATTTTCACAAACATTCACACAAGTGTTAAGAGACGTTCTGCCACCATCACCACCTGAAGGGGAGCATTTAGGTACGGTATCCATATGTTTACGTGGGTCAAAGTTTTCTTTTTGTTCTGAGAGCTTCTCTTTGCAATTTTCAAAGCCAGTAGAACGAGGAACCAATCTTCCCTGAGAAATCTTCCTTTGATCATTCTGCTTTCGATCAATTAATCCTTTTACAGCATTCTGAAAGTAGAGGGACACACATAAAACAGAGAAACAAGTGTAGATTTTTATTTTCCCCTGCCCAAGGACAGATTTTCACCGCAAAAAAAAGTAATTTCCTTTTTCAGTGATATTTGCTTTTAAACATGTGCTGTTAACGAGAGAAATATTTTTTTAAAGGCACTTGAAAGAACACTGGATTGAAATCTGTTCTTCGAACTTTTCAGATAACCTCCTCTCATTCCAGAGTCCATTATACCAATCCTGATATAGCCGCGTTTCCCATCACCTCAATGTAAAGTTTGTCTGAGTAGACATCTTTAACTCTGTATCTTACAGCACTGTTACTTTCTTTTGATTGTTTTCTGCTAGTTCCTCACTTCCCAAAGGAAAAGTCCATGGGTTTGTCCACTAAGTGAAAGCACATACTGTAATTTCTCTCTTCTTTCTTTGTGTACAGTACCATAGTTATTATTTGGCTGCAATCTCTACAGGAGAACTGGCAAAAGAATATTTGCCTGTACCTCAGCTACTCTGGTACAGAATCTGTGTTTTCTACAAGGGCACCTGCGTCAGCAGTTTAAGACAACCAACACACAATCTATGTGGGCTCTGCCTCAGATCTGTTGCTACTCTTCTTTTTATAGTCACATACCCAAAATTCTGCTGCCATAATTTTTTTTTTTAAGTATTGTCTAATTGACTCATAGAAGAACCTCTTTGAAGGGTCATCTGATATTACGCAACACAAAGTAGGAAGCATTTGTTTAAACTGCTCCACCAATAGTTGTATGAAGCAGCAAAATCCCTTCAGTGGTGTGGAACACTCTTCCACTGGGGGTCTGTCTAAAATAGCATACATCCAAGGGGCTATAGTAGATATTTTTACTTTCAAGGTATTCAGTATATCGTTTTTAACTGAGCTAAAACAGAATGCACGATGGGATGTAAAGGCTAGCTGCAAGCACGTTGTCCTTCACTACATCTGCAGGTACTTCACAATCTCTTAAGCAGTATCATTTTTCTTTTCACTTAATGTAGAGTCTTTTAGCCTTTTTAGTCACTTCAACAAGTCATATGTGTGCTAAGACAAAAAGGCAGATTTTGTTCAACAGTCAATGTGAAAAACTTACCTCTGCAGTTTGCCTGTCATCTTCTTTCACATTTCTGTTATTCTAGCAAAAAAAGGAAGAAAAAAGTTGCCTTACAGGGTTATCTTTCACATCTGTGCTGCAAATGTTAGACATACATATTAATGAATGAACTTAGAATCTCTCAATTTTTATACTGTTTGTTACATTTATTTTAGAAGTAATTTTAGGCTTATTTTTTTCACAGATCAGGATTATATTGGATCTTTTTCCTTTTTCTACACTTATCAGATCTCTTTGATCCTTCAGCACTTGTTACCTCGCAGATTTTGGTCTTCAAAATAAACGTTTATTAATTCCTTGCTCGGCAGAAAATACATATCGATAATTCGATATTGTTAAATAAAATGCTATTTAAAACATCCCCTTTTCCTTGGGGACTGACAGGACAGTATAGTGTAGTACTGTAATAACCAGATTACTGTGCAGACTATTCAGCTCTTTCTTACCTGCCCTGGAGATGCTGACTCAACACTAGTGGTTGTGCATGCATCAGACCCTAGAAAGACACAAACACAATTAGGGCATATCCTGAAGTTTTGCTCAGAATGTTTACTACCACACCACGGGCAAACAGATACATACACATTTCCACATAATATATTAGGGACAAAACTTTAATGTGGAAAATTCTATTTAAAAGGAGGAAAAAATATCTAAAATATAATGAGTGATAGACCATTAAAGCTTCTCAAATCTCCATTATTTGAAAGAATAAAAATACAGAACATGTGACCTAGCAGAACTACAGGGATAAAAATAGAATATAAGAAAATATATAAATACGTGTGTAAAAATATGTACTGTAGGCATTCATGAGCTTTGTCATATTCAGGAGACGATGCTTGTATCTAGAGATTTTGACTTCTCCTCAAGAAATATCAAAAAATAAAAGCTAACAAAAAATGTTTAAGTTAAAATTTGTGCCTGCATAGATCATTTTACCTGATGGAACTGGAAGAATGAGAGAGTTGCTCCGAGATGCTACTGGTGAAACTTTAGGACTAAGTATTGGTGAAACTGCTTCATTAAAACAAAGACAAGACCAAATAAAAGGTAATTTTATTTTCTAGGCTTTTAGCTTGTGAATCTTTAAAATTTAAAGCTTAAAAAATTTAAAGCTTAAAACATGAACCTCATAGCCATCAGTTGTATGTTTTTCCAGGACCTGACAAGTCAATTTAATTGCCAGTTTGTACTTGGCAATTAGGAACTTAAGAGTAGGTTTTATCTCATATACCTGCCATAAACTAATGCAATTCTGTTGACGCACAGAATCCTCATTCTCCTCAGTTTTCTGATACTGTAAGCACCACAGAGAAGTAGACACATGAGAAAGATTGACAAGGAATTTGGAGGGGGGGTAGAAAAAAAAAGGAAAATTTAATTTTAAAAGGTATAGTTGTTTTTAGGTAAGAGAATCTTGTTTTCAGAATGTGAACCTACCTGTGGGTGACTCTGGAAGGCTGCTTCTTGACTTTCTGCCTCTGCGCATTAGAAATCTCTCGCTTACTTTCTTTGCTTCTTCTAGTAATTCAAGGTTCTTTTTTTTGTCTTCCTCTGATATTTTGACATCTGGTAGCTGATCATTTACCAGATCAATCACATGACCACTGGTGTCTGGGTAGAAAACATCAGAATTAGAGTTGTACCTCATATTTCCAGATAGGTTGTGGCGTTTCAGATTAACAAGTATAAAACATATCCGTACATTTAGCTTTGGACTTGCATGTCTGCTTATTTCTAATGTTGTTATATTGTCAACTTTAGAGAAAGTCCTCAATAATAGTCCCACAGATAACCCACTAAGATTAAGCAACCATGATCATGGACCACAAACTGAAAGTTGCTGCCTCACAAAATTAGTCGCCTTCAATTACTATTTACTCCACAGGTAGCTACTGGAGAACTAATAGAACTAATTATGTAGTAAGAGACTCATTAGCATATGAAGAAATAAAGAAAATCTTCCCCTAGATAGCTCACTTTCATTTACAATTTAATCTGATATTACAGTCAAATTAAATAACTTCATAGGTAAGTGTCCATTAAGCTCCTTGCTAAAAAAAATCCAGTTGTTCAGAAGTAACAAAGACCGTATTACTGATCAGTATTTTGCATACAAGAATTTTAAGCATATTTCCGGGCTTCTAAATGTGTTAAGCTACCACATCAATCTAACAACACACGTATTTCCCTGAATCTGTTTCAAGCAATCCACTTAGGATCATAGAATGGCCTAGGCTGGAAGGGACCTTAGAGGTCATTTAATCCAACCTCCCTGTCACGGGCAGGGACACCTCCTCTTGAATAGACCAGGCAACACATGGGGACCGAGCGGGAATCGAATCCGTGACCTTGGTGTTGTTATTGTCATAAACTCATGATCACAATTCAACATGCTAGCAGTGTTCCCTGTGCACGTGTTACAGACAGTATGCGCAGGAAAAAACCTGTAGTCAGTACAGTCAGACTCTACATATAAGTATTTATGGCATGTCATATTTTCTGAGAGAACATCCTAGCTTAAAGGAATAATTTACACTTCTTACCAACAGAAGTCAATGAACTTGTTGAATTTCTAGTGGCACGGTTAGAATGTCTCCTATGAGGACTACGAGGCCTAGAGAGAAAAATGAACAAAAAAATTGATGGGAGCATGCCACCAAGAAAAGTTCTACTTATCTATAAAAATCTAACAGTAAAAAGAAAACGATTCAATCAAAAAAAAAAGGTTTTATCGCAATTCCTCTCATCTTCAAGCAACTGGAAAATTGCTTTCTCAAAGGAGTTCTGACATTTGCTGATAACCTAATACACTGTGATCCTTTGATTTCTCAAAAAAATACATTTCTTTAGTTCATTATCATGACTTAAAACTTATTTAAATTTGGTACATTGCAAAAACACACAAAAAATATAATAGTCTTTCTAAATAGTTAGCATTTCCAAAATTAAGTCTTATGGCTGAAATAATTTCTTAGGCTCCCACACTGACACATGTAGCAATATAGCAACTTTCAATATTGAAAGCCAGGTGAAATCCTCAACCGACTGCAGAAAATGAAATGCTGCTCCAGCAAATAATGCTGTTTTTAAAAGGCTACATTGTAATTCTGACTCTCAAATAATCTTCAAGTTTGGAGAAGTATACTTTAAACATACAAGCAAATTATAGTACACATTCATGATCAATACTCTAATTAGTTCTTTATTGTAATTTGAGTCTAATGGCAGGTCAATAAATGAAAAATCCCACGTCAGAAAGCATGCTTTACCAGAAGACTGAAAATAATCTAAATTCAGCTCAAAATTGAACTCAAGTTTTCAATTTCAAACAGGATTATTATTTCCATTCAACAGCTTACTTTGGCATATGCTTAACCTCAAGGTGGTACTCTTACCCTGTCTACCTGAACGGGCCCAAACATCTGCTTCAAAACTCACTGCACGATAGTATGCAAGCTAGACATTTAAGTTGCCCAACTGCCTGGATTAGGAACATTATCTGCTTGAATTTTCAACTGATACCTGTTTTATTTCACAAGATCCCAATTTTCAGGTGCTACAGAAGTTTCTTTTGCAGCTTCACTGAAATGGTAAGGAGGACTGAGCAAATGAAAGGGAGGAAAGGAGAAAAGTGAGCTGGAAAAGAAGCCTACATCTGTTGCACTTGTTTTTTTAGACAGGAAAGAAAAGTCCAGTAACAAAATTTTCAGTGCTTTCAAGTCAGAACTTAAAAAGAACTGAGCACATCTTTAGTGGCTTTAGAAGAAAAGTTTAAAGTTGGTGGCTGATAATACCATGATATTCTAGTATCTCAGAATAAATATTATTTTTTATGAAAAAATGTTAGTCAGCAATGCCAGATTACAAACAATTTTTGTAAGGAAAGAAAAAAGATACAACTACAGCAGCTTCAACCAGCACCACTTTAAGTTTTATAGAACAGTATGTGTTTTAAGTCAACACCAAGATAATATGCACAAGACTTGAAAGTAGATTTATTCTGAAAGATATATGTAATATGTTAGACCCATCAAAAGAAGATAGGAAGCCTTTTCAGCAGTTCATAAAACTATATTATTTTGTCCAAATAATGCAAAACTTTAATTTATATTTTTGGATTTGCTATGCTGAAAGATAAAGTTCACGTAAGTTTAAAGTACACTGCGTCAGGTTGACAGGCTTAGTAGTACATGAAACTCTACTCTTGTAGTATCAGCTATATTCCTGCCTCCCCACTTTCCTGCATCCAAAAAAATCATCCAATCAAAATGCAAAGACAATAAGACCAAATTACAAACAGAGATACAGCAACAATATTTTACTATAATGCACATTTTAAAGCAACATTTTAGGAACACAGCTCCTGGAATTACTATACAATATATGCATAGATTGATAATGTATTATTTAGTACCTGTTAACCAGATTTTTATCAATTTCTACATCTGGCGTAACAGCATTCTCTGGGAGAACAATAGAAGGTGTACTGCATGTTGTCCCTTCAACAGTAGTGTCCTGAATGGTGTGTGACAAATATAAAAATATAGTTAAACAGAAATTCAAAACGCCGAATATTGACACTCTGTGGAAAATAACGTGCATTGCTCAATTTAGCTAAAATAGAAAATGACTGAACTAAATAGGAATTAGCTCTTATTTAACAAAAAGAATGTGAATTAGAGGCCTATACTTGAATTGCTGAAGAGAAATGATGGAGACATTGTTGCAATTATTATTTTAGAGTAATCGTGAAATAAGTAGAACATATCATAGTAGTGTGAGTACATATAGCTGGACAGAGAGCTTCCCAAAAGCAGCAGGGGACTGCCATCACTTGATTTGTAAAATTTAAATAATAATTTGTACATATTTATATCCTAATTACTTCTTCTAGGCACTTGTATGTACAAGCATTTTATTTAGTTATTTGGAGTCTAATTTTTTCTTGAACCTACATCCCAAAGTTTCATAAGATTTTTTTTACCTCAGTTGGCATTGGACTGGAAAATAGAATAGGATATTTTCTGCTGGAAGGCACCTACAACTATCATCTAGTCCAACTGCCTGAGCAATTCAAGGCTGTCCAGCAGTTAAAGCATGGTATTAAGGGTGTTGTACAATCACATCTTATACACCAACAGTTTCAGGGCATTGACCACCTCTCCAGGAAGCAATGTTTCTGGATTTTCTAAAAGAGCATGTTTGCTATCCATAACACAAAGCCAATTGCGTTCAATTGTTGTAAACCTAATTTTGCTTTTTCTGAAATAGCGTTTGCTGTCAATTTTGTTTATTCCTTTTAAGAGTCTTTACCTACTAGAGGTTGACACAAGTGTGTCAATAACATTTATTTTAGTTATATTCATTAAACAGGCAGGTAACAAAAAACTAATTTAGGCATTTACAGAATGAAGCTTGTAATGCCTCACAGTTTAACAAGTCAGCATTTTAGAATAGAGAAAATTATTTCATTTCATTTATTTGAAACAACAGCCATCATTGTTTCAGTCATCTACTGACACGTGGAAAAAATGGTGGAACTGTAAGGTTTTTTACAATAAACAAGTAATCAAGAGTGTAAATTGAAATGGAACTACATACATCCACAAAGCTAAGTTACATGACTGCTAATATCTATCATACACAACAAAACTCCTTTCAGCATTTCTTCCAGTGCTGCATTTTATTCTTATTGAAATAATGTGTTTCTGATCAATTCAAAGAACTCTAGAAGCATTTTGATAATGGTATAATATTAAAGTATATAGCATAAACCTTCCTCTCAAAGGCAAGAAAATATACTTTGGTTTGGACATCTGATTTATGATCTTGATTCTGTTGTAAATAGCTTTCTTTTTTAAAAAACCCCCACACCTAAAATAAAAACATTCCGTGCAGCTCCACACTTCTATATTTATGATTCTCATATAACATTTCTTGGCAAGTTCACAGTGTCATTCACAGGAGAGCAGGATGGGAAACATGCGAAGAAAGTAATTTGAAGATTTAAGTTTAAGAAAAATATCCTCATAATATTGGAAAGGTTAGAATGTAAAAGCATGATATATTATGTGCTTCAGTTGCACGACTGATATTGTATGATAAGAGTTTGAAAGCACTTTTTAGTACTATTCTTCACAACACTACCAAGTCTAACAGCCAATGACAAAATTTCAGGTGACTGCCCTGCTTGTAGGGCAAAGCAGCTGAGCACACATGCACGTTGTTTATACTAATCTCATGACTGCCAAAGAGCGAAAGATTTTGAATGACGCTATCAGGCTGTCATCAGGCTTAAAGTCACTGAAGTCCATTTTAGGTCTCTAAAACCAGCTCATCAAAAAGAAAAAAAAAGAAAAAGGCTGTAGCCAAGGCTAGCTAAACCCAGGACACAAACCTACTGGGCATTTGTATACGAGTGAGGCAGGAAGCGCTGGAGCATGAAGCTCTTTACAGGGCCAGCTGGCCTGAATCAAAAGAAATCTTCATACTCTGAAGAGTACTCAGGCTGCTATATGCAGATCTTGGAAGAGAAGCTTTAACAGGAAGCTTAAGCTGTCTCAGTTGTACATCTACGCAAAAATGATACAGAAGTTTTCCATCACTCTCCCATTCCCTGCCTGTAACCGCCCTCTCCATGGTAGCTTCCAGATAAATCTGCTCTTCAGCTATTCCTATCTCCTAGTACCAGTGACTGCCTGCTACCAGGTCTTTGCTTCTTTTTTGTCACAAGCCCTCCTCCCACAAAAGAGCAGGGTAAAACTGCCTCCACCTCTGTGGCTCAGGTGGAGAATAATCCATACACTCTACAAGGATGCCCACACGCCATCTAGTCTTGCAGGGCAGCTTCTGCAGGGCTGCGGGGATGGCACACGCTGTTTGGTCCCTAATGGAAGATCCAAGAGGCTCAGGCATACTGGGGGTGGGATAGGATCTGGCTGTTAAGCTCTACTGAGCCCTCACTAAACATACAGAAAATGTGTTTACAAGTTTTATAATCCAGCCAAATTTGAATGGATTTAAACAGTAATGAGGGGGAAAAAATAACAATAATTTTAAAAAAATCTCTGCTACAAGAGCTATCCTGCCAGGACAGTCAGATGATAAAGCTTTGCTGTATACCACCTGAGCTCTTTAAAGCTTTGGGGGAAAAAAATAAAAATCCTCTGCCACCTGGCTGTATTCTTAGAAACTAATTAAAGGTTTGGATGGAATTTCAGAACAAATTTCACTTACGTGAAAGTCCTCAGAAAAAGGCCTCTGCATGTCAGAAAGCAGTCTTCTGAGTAAGATGGGTTTTTAAATAAGCTTAATTTTAGATGCTTAAGTGAAGTATTAAGCTTAGAGTTTAGCAAGTAAAATAACAAAATTCAGTTGTAACTGCATCTACTTGAAACAGGAGGATAAAGTAAACAGAACAAAACAGGTAACACAGTGATTTGATACAAGTACAATACAAATTTAAGTAAGAATAATAAAAAATGCAGTTTGAATGATGGAATAATCAGTGGACAAGAAACATGAACAGCTGAGACAGACTTTTCCTCAGCAGTCAGAAGAGCCAGTAAAATAGTGTTTGGGACACAGAGAGAGAAGAAAGCTAGAAATAGTAGTAAGGATTTTTGATTTAAAATGAGGGAAAGACAGCAGCTCACAACCAACCTTGAAAGTGTAGGGAGACTTACAGGCCACTATAAATCTTTACATTATTGGTAAGGATCTGATTTTCTTTGCTGCAGGTATGCATTCCACATACAGAAATTACATTTTTAATACTGAAAATCTAAAAGAAGTTTTAAAGGGTATCAGTGAAAGTGTATTATTCTGTGTGAAATCTAATTGAATTAAAATATGAAATTACTAAAATGACTAACGTTCTACAATTTATGGAAGGAGAACTTATTCTGTATAGAACATGTCTAAAAATGTTCAATACTTAGTGTAACAAGTTAAAAGCTCACACAAGCTGAAAGTTCAACTACAGATGCTTAATACAGACAACATTTCAAACAAGGGACTAAAGTTCTTTAAAATAGGCTAACTGCCCTCTCACCTCTGCTAATGGGAATTTCACACCTGCTGCCCCCAGGAACACAGAGCTAATGAATACTTTGGTGGATGTTGTTTAGAGTGAACACAGGATGCTGTAAGAAATGCTGAAATTGAAAACTATATTTGTTTTCTCAAAATGAATTTGAGAAATATAACTCAGGTCTTCCAGTCATGTAAAAGATACTTGAAGTAAGCAAGAAACTACATGTGGTATCAGGCTCCTTTTCTTTCTCAGGCCTGTTTGGTGAACATGTGTGCATTTGTGTATGCAGGGAAAAGGGAGTGAAATATCTCCTGAAACAGAATGAGGAAACTGTTAGACACCAAATAGCACTTTAGATAAGATTCCAAACTTGGAAAGTTTTTTCAATGGCAGAAAACAAGTCCACTAGTTGGTTCCTTCTGATGCCCTCTCCTTGCCTACAAGTCCTTATCTCGCAACGATAAGCTATTTTAGTTGTTGCATAGTCATGCTGTAGAACTTGGACTGCAGCAAGACCCAAAAGTGATAACAGGTACGAACAAGATCAAATCCACACAACATTGGCTATTTGCAATCCTTAACTTAAGCAGGCTTATGAGTAATGTGTTGGTTAAAATCCACTGTTACTTTCTGACTAAAAATACAGTTTTTGAAACTGTTTTTTTCTGTGCATTTGGCACAGATAGCCGATTCATCAACTATTATGCTTAGGCCATTCTATGATTCTATGATTTCAGATCTACCTCTAAATGGGCTGCATTATATTATTTTAATTTTTTTTTAGATTACTTGGTTGCAAAATTCTTCATTTGTCCCATTTGACAAGCACGTTCAGGAATACATTCATGGATGTCTGCTAGCTTTTCTTATTTTTTTATCTTTGAGTATGTTTTACCCAGCAAGTATTTTGTATTAAAATATTGTTCACATTGTTGATTTAAAAATAAAAAAACAAATAAAAAATCTTCTTGACCTAATATATGTTCCCAGCTAATAGCCTGAGCAACTTGCATCCGTCTGGGGTGTTTATCTTAAGCCAGGAAACTAGCACTCAGTACAGTGTGCAATTAAGATGGAATGCATGACAAGTCAGTGTAGGGCTCACTGCTGACAATATTTTCCAACAGTGTTAAAGTAGCGGATGTTTTCACCTAAAGCATAGAATACAGTGTCCTCAACTCCAGTGACAGTGATGCATTTTTAACTGCGGATGTGCCTCTCTTTCTTTACACCAGTTCCTATAAAACAGGATGATCTGAGTAACATGTAGTTTTGTAATCACAGTAAGGTTCTTCACTTCAGTGAAGCTAACAATTCAAAACCCCTCATTTAATCAGTACATAAAATTACTTTTTATCAGTGGAATAAATTATTCAAAAGGAAGTAGTATCACCTCTTATTGATTTTTAAAATCTATCCGCAAATAAAACATGTAAAAACATGTAGATGCCACAAATTCAGGTAGCAATATGATGAACATGTCTGGTGAGCACGCACCCACTCTCTGTATAGTTCTAGTATATGCTCAGCTACTGCTGATAAATAAAGCACAAATAAAGCACTAAGACTACAAACTAAAAAAGCAGATTTCCCATCTTACGCACACACTAATTGCACAGCATCTTCGCTAACTGTCATGGCGGTACTAGATGTTTCAAGACTATTGTGAACTACAAGCCTAAGTTCTTTTCTCAAAGGTTTAAGTTTTCTGAAATAACATCACAAAGGATATTTTTGGACAGCTTTGATGCAAATGGCTCAGAACAGACAGACATATAAGCCTCCGGATCAAATTCATAAAAAACTGCTTGAGCAACTTCAGTTCTCATTCCTTAGTCTATACAAATATTTGAAGAATTCTAAGAATATCAGCTGAAAGATTATTCATCGCTTCATCAATTAATCAAAACACAGTAATACATAGAAATTATTAGATTTTATTTTATACACTCCTAAATATACACAAACAGGTTTCAGCCTCAGGCTTCCAACAAGTGTGAGAAAACGCCTTCGTAAGAGTGCTTACTTTGGCTGTAGAGGAACTGCTGTGTTGTGCCTCTTTTGATTGTCCCTTGTCTTCAGGTAAGGTTGGCATGGTGGACAGTGTGAAGCACGTGGAACTGCAATGTGGACTAACAGGACCATGCAGTGCTGAGAATATCTGTTTCAAGTTAGCCTGAAGGCATAAGCGCTGAGAGGCCTTGTGATCTGCAGGCTGTGTTAGATGCCAAAAATACAAATCAAATCCGTTTAAAACGCTATGCTCTAACACCAAGATCACTTTACAATAACAAACATTATTAAGGTTTAAAATTAAAAATGTTATCGTATGTGTTATCAACTACGGCTTTCAAGGTCAAGTATAACTTGTAAATGCATTGAAAATGGACTATATTCTGTTCTTGTTGCTATTTACATCTCTTCCCTCTGTCATACAGATTTTCTTTTTTTTTTGCTAGTATGACTGTTTTGGCTGACTACTCTGTCTAAAAATTCTCTAAGAAGCAAACAGCATTCTGGATATCCATAATACGCCTTTCAGTAACTAACAAAGCCCTAAAGCTACAGATTGTGATCTCAGATCTCAAAGAAAGGAGTAGAACAGGAAACCCAGATGGTGGCACTCTTCCTTTGTGCAAGAGCAAGGCCTAGGTGAATTGTGCAAAGGCTTGGTGTATATCTGCACAAGACAACACCGTGCAAAACATTTCCGAAGCGAAATAGCAGTAATGCCCAAAGGGAAATGTCTATTAGCTGAGAAATTCTTGTTATTAGTACCAATAGGAGCTACTGCCTTTGCAAGAATATTATTAGCATTAAAGCTTGTACAGTAGTCTGAAGATGAGAGACGTCAAGTGCTAATCCTTATTGCTACCGTGTTGTATTACAAGACTTACGGTGACACCTACCGGATAATTAAGGAACAGTCCTCACAAATAAATCATTCGACTCCTTGGTGGTGCCTACAGATGACAGACAATGCAGTTATCAGAGACAATGTGGCATACAGTTTCGGTCTGGACTAGTAAGAGAGTTAAGTATATTCCCTTTACAGTTAATTCACAGCTATATATAGAATGGAGCTATACACTCAAACTGCAATGGAACAACTTCAATAGTGTGCCAAGGAGATAAATATACTCATTAAGCATAGGTTCAACCTCCAAAATACGTTATCTTCCCCAAAAGCTGACTTACTAATCTAAGCCCAATTCTTCTGCTCTTCTGGAAACCAAGAGAGATGGAACAAAGAGGTTGAGATGGGAAGATGATTCGAAGTTCAAGGCACTTAGCACTGCTGTGGGATTAACCTGTAGTTTTACCTTCCATTTTAGAAATGGAAAACTGTATTCAAGAATATGTTGTTTTATTGAGGCTGACAGTTAAAATTGCCAAAGAAAAAAACTAAAACAACAGAACACCAAAACAAAGCCAAATCAATCAATCAATCAACTAAAAAAGAACAAACACCCAGACACATTCACAGAAATACCGAAGCAGTCTCAACAGCGAAAAGGTCCTCACCTCAGCTTTCACAGAAAAAAGGTTGTGTTATAACACCTACAGAATATGTGAAAACTTTGGACTGCAGAAGCAGTTAAGACCCATACTTTTATTAGATTTATTTCACATGATATTGGAAACTTTTTTACTAGAAGAAGAATACAAGGCTACCTCATGTGAAATTTAATGCAGATCTAATAGATTGCAAAAATTATGGACTTGCTTTTCATCTCTGTGATAAAATCCTGGCAACCTATGAAATTTCTGAGTTTGCAAGAACCCAAACAAACACAGAATAGAGAAGATATAAATTTTGCTGTTTATCTAATCCCTCTTAGTGTTTGCCTTATGAATTTATAATGGTTCTGACAGGCTCAACTCAACAGAATGCTGGGCCTGAAAAATCAGGAATGTTTCAAGTCGTAGCCAAACTGAATTTGCAGTCCTATGTGGAGTTGTACAAACTATTGCACCGAAATGGTTTATTCCTGGTCTTAGCTGAGTTCCTAAACTTTAAAAAGTAATGCAAGTCATATAGAGGCAAGAAAGAGATATTAAGCACATCAAGTTTCAGTTCATTTTTCAGATTTAAAAAGAAAAAAAACTTTATAGGGAAAAAAAATCAGCAGGCTTGTCTAAGAATAGAAAGGGACAAATCCCAAGCTGTGTTGTCTCAGAGATACAGCACAGAAAGTACAGCCAAGGGAGAGCGGAGGGTAGAAAGATGAATTCACGCTACCTTAACAACACCCAGATTTGGAGGGGACTGAATTCAGGTCATCTCTGACACAACTAGAACCTTACTCTGACTTCCTTCAGAGCTAACTTGTTCCAAATCTTTGTGGCGCTGATCAGTGGGAAAATTTCTTCTTCTGACTTCCCATTTTTTTCCTAGTATGTCTCCAAAAAACCCTAGTGCTAAGGACTGTGCTGGAGCAGTTAAAGTTTGCATATAACTATTCATATTTTGAGGCTTCTTAAAACAACTGCAGTCTTTGCACACCTTGACTTCACTGCTGCAGTGTTCTAAGGTGCCCAGCCTAAGGGCTACTACTTATTGGTGATGCTGTGAAAAGGCCGAAATCAGGACTCAATAGTTTTGGTGACCGTGAAGCAGGTATTCTTTATGGCAGCGCTGGACACAAAGGGCATCTCACCGCCTAATGTGTGTGCTGTAGAGAGTCAGATGCATAGCTTATGTGCAGGTTATACGTACATATTCACAATATTTCTGAGAAATGATTAGCATATTCATTATTTCTGATTAGCATATTCATTATTTACATTACCATAGGTTACCATGCACTCCCGCATGCGCATTATAGTCTCTTGGTGGGCTTCAGAGGTCATTCACGTCATCCTCCTCTTCATCACCTGTTCTTTTGGTGAACTATAGCCTGCACTCCCATGTTCTTGCCGACAAGCAAGGTCTGCAGTCTTGAGGCACCCTGTGCCTGTTTATCTCATAGTAGCCTTGCAGTCCGTTCTCAGAGATAAGTCCCGCTCCAAGCATAACCATGTGCATGCATATCCATCTCACAATGCCATTGTTACATAGTTCATTGCTGCTGCTTGTTAAAAGGCTTTTAGCTAGTAAATCTCCGTCAGGCCCTCGCTTCATTGGTATTTCAACAAAGTGTGTAAGAAAGTAGTTCAGTTCATAAGTTATATAATTTAAAACTTCTGAATGATTACTTTTTCAATCTAAAAGCTTAATTTTAACCTGTGCAGTATTCTTGAACTCAGTAGCCCAGATCCTTTAAACTCTTTATGATGCTTAACCAGGACAACCATCACATCTTGTAAATGCAAATGGATACAACCAACGGAGCCACATTTTTGCTTCATACTATGCAAATTCTGCTGTTTTCTGTTGCAATTTCTGCCTTCTGATACTAGTAGGAAAGGTGAAGGTTTAGAAATTATGGAATCTTAAGATATTAGTGAATAAATGTTCTTCTTTCATTACTGCTGAAGTGACCTTATGCCTATTTGATTGGTCAACGAAAATAGCCCCAGTAAATGTCAGTGAGAGTCAAAACACGCAGAAGAAGGGAGCTATGAGAACACTTGAACAAGAATTAGAGGAGCTTGCCTGCATCTCACAAATGCAGGATGAAAAGAAATGTCCTTGCAAAATTTATTTCCCTGGAAGGTACGTTTTTCCTTCTTCACTAGAGCACTAGGGAGGACTACAGCCTTGGAATCTACAGATATTCGGACCTCTCTCTACAAAACCAGCTTACAGCCTTAGTGAACCACAAGCCAAAGTGCAAAGAGCATTACTATCCTCGTTTTAAGCTCGGCTCATCCTCCAGCTGAACAGCCTTTGGAATCATGCCGCCATTAGCTTTGCCAGCTTTATCTCCACAAACATAAATGTCTTTCAGTCAAAGAAGGAAATGATAGGTTAACAATACATGCAGTACAGTGAGATACCAACTGAAACAACGGTAATTATTGTCCCTGAAGATACTGAAAGGATAGATTAAAAAAAATACATACAACTGCACTTTAAAAAAACAGCCGAGGTGCATAAGCATATGTTAGCATCCTTGTCACTAAGACAGTTTCAAGATTCTGTTATTTCTTTCGTTAAGCATTGATCAAACTGTCTGGCCTACCTCCATCTCATCAAAGGATGTAATGAGATTACTATAGTGTTTTATTAGAGTAAATTATCTCCGCCCCCCCAAAAAAACTCCAGTATTTTAGAAATTGCAGGAGCTTCAGAATTACCTTTTAAAATTAAATACTTGTAAAAATTAACTCACATGTCAGAAGAAGAGCAGATGTGGGCGAAGATCTACAGTCTTAGTCTGCACGAGCCTTTTGCACCTACAAAATGAGTTAAAAGCCCCCATAAATTACCTATCCTATTGACCAGATTCTGTTTATTCCCACACTAAGATGAGACAATGTAAACGACAAAAATGTAAGAAAAAGAAAGAGAGAGAGGATGGAGTGCTTTTTAACATTTTAGTTTGTTATTGTAAACTTGCTGCTTAAAATAGTTAGGAAAAAAATGATCCCCTGAGCTCAAATTTGTAGTCAGATATAGATCAGTGAATGCAGAGAACTTTCTTTTACCAGGCTTAGAGTACAATCTCCAGGAAATGGTGATCTGGGAGCTCTATTCCATAAAAGGGAGAAGTATTCAGAGGCCCTTGGCTTTCAGTGTGTTCTCTCTGTAACTCATTTTACCATAGTAGAGAAAGCTAAGTATAATCAGTTAAACTTACCCTCTCTGAGTCACAGCTGAGTACTGTGTTAGTGAAGGCTTAGATAAAGGTGCTTTACTCTGTCTCCACTGATAGCTTGGCTGTTGACCTCAAATGCTCTGTCATGCCACAAGAATATAATAAAAAACCCAGAAATAAACAGTTAAGAAAACATTTTAATAATATTCCTTGACCTCACACTGTGGCTGAGTCAAGCAACTCTCATTTGTCAAGAACAGGAGTTGTGTGCTCATGAACACAGTGGAACTGCACCATTCTGAGCTGCTTTTTCTAAATTTTTTTCTTTGTTGTCCTGCAAAGTGGTTGCAAAACATTACCATATCAGAAATGTATCTGTTTACACTCCTTTTGTATAGCTGTAAAAGCATATGGAGTTCATGTAGCAT